TGAGGCATGGTGACCCTCCAGTTAAACCATCACCAGTTGTCTCTCTCTCTAATGAGCTAGCAGCCATCTGGTCTGGTAAGACTAGGGTGATTTTACCTTTACTGATTCCTGTATCACTCCACTAGTAACAATTTGTCAATTGAAAGAAAAAACCAGTGTCCATTTCCTCTGCTTTTAATCAGTTAACCAATCATTTATCCATACTAATATAATAGCCCTACACCACGTGCTGTTATCAGTAACCTTTGAAGTGACACTTATCAAATGCCTTTGAATTGCAAATACATCACATCTACAGGTTCTCCTTCATCCATTTTTCTTGTTTCATCTTCAAAACATTGCAAATAAATTAATTAAACATAATTTTCCTTCCACAAACTCACATTGACTCTGCTTGAGCCCATCATAATTTTTTTAAGTGAAATTCACCATAATCCCAGAGGACCACAGACTGCTTTCTCGTTAGAGAAAAATAACTGGTGGTGAGTTTAACTCGGGGATCAGCACTCCTTATGAGACAAGGTGAGGTCAACAAGGCAGAGCCTACATGGTGACCTGAGCAGGTAATAAATGTGCACTGTTGGCATCACACTGCCGTCCAACTAATGAGCTTTCTTAGTGTCCTGTTATAACTTCCTTAATAATGGATTCTGCCAGTTTCCCTGTGACAGATGTTAGATTAGCTATGTACAGTTTTCTATTTTCTGTTTCCCTCCTTCCTTGAATAAAGAGTTACATTTATTATTTTCCAATCCTCCAGGATCCTACCAGAATGTAAAGAATTTCAGAAAGTCATAACCAATTCTCTATCATAGCCACAGTCACTCCTTTTAAGACCCTAGGATGCAGGTTCTGGGGGCTTGTCAATCCCGAGGCCTTATATTTTTTCTTAAATTTCTTTGCTAGTGATGGTAATTATTTTAAATTCCTTTCTCATTTTAACCTCTTGATTTTCAACTATCTTTAGGAAGTTTTCTAAGTCTTCTACAGGGAAAACAGACCAAAATCTCTCTTCAATGCCTCTACCATTAATTTGTTTCCCCCTATCAATTGCCCAAATTCTCTCTCTAGAGACTTACACCAGCTTTAGTTACACTTTTCCTATTTAACTACTTCTAAAAGCTGTTGTTATCAGCTTCTATATTATTGTGCTAGCTAGCTTCCTCTCATTCTCTGCTTTCAACATTCTTAAAGGTTTTTTTTGCCAGTATTTGAAATGGGTTCAATGTTCTGACCTATCAGTAGTCTTTGTAAATGAGTATAATATTTCTTTCAGTTTAATAGTGTCTTTAATTTCCTTATTTAAGCATGAATGGTGCATCATTTTCAAGGAGTCTTTAGTTCTCATTGGGATAAATCTTTGTTGAGAGTTATTTAATATCACCTTACAAGTTTATCACTGTATTTTTACTGTCCAACCATCTAACCCAGTTTCCCAGTACATTCTAGCCAGCTCTATTTTCATGCCTTTTTAATTTTCTTTATTTAACTTGTGGAACATCAGTACTAAGCTCACATTTCTCCTCTTTATCCTGAACATCTATGATTACAATCACCTAGAAACTCCCTTAACAGGAGGTTATTATTTGATCCCGCTTCCTTGCTCATTATTGGGTCTAAAATAAATCTGCTCCTTCATTAGCTCTAGAATAAATTGCTCCAAGAAGACATCCTGAACATACACAATCAACCTATTTTCTAGGCTACCTTTGTGATTTTGATTTGTGTAATCTACATGTAGAATAAAGTCAACTATGACTATTACTAACAAATGCAGAGAATGTTGATGAGACTCAATATGCCTGACACCATCTAGAGAGAGAGTTAACATTTACAAACTACACATGCACAATTGAAAGCATACTATCCGGGTGCATAACGGTTTGGTATAGCATCTGCTCTGCCCAGGACTGTATGAAACTACAGAAGGTGGTATGCACAGCCCAGACCATCACCGAAGCCAACCTTCCATCCATGAACTCTAATTACCGCAGAAAGGTGGCCAATATCATCAAAGACCCATTGCACCCTGGTAATGATCTCCTACAACATCTTGCGTCAGGCAGAAGATACAGAAGCTTGAACACATGCACAAGAAGGGTCCTGACCCGAAACGTCAGCTTTCCTGCTCCTCTGATGCTGCCTGGTCTGCTGTGTTCATCCAGCTCTACACTGCATTAGGTTCAGGAGAAGCTTCTTTCCAGCTGTTATCAGATTATTGAATGGACTCTAGCCTCAAATAATGTAACCTGCAATGTAACCTGTCTGCCTCTAAGTCTTTTTGATCTGTACATCCTTTGCTTGCTGTGATCTGCCAGTACCACTCGTAAACAAAACTTTTCACTATTTCAGCACATGTGACAATCAATCAATCAAAACAAATCAAATCAAATCAAACATTTCAATTCTGAGATTATTCTTCTTTAGAACTGAGTGATGTTGGAAAATGACTCTGGATTACTTGACCAGTGACATTACCACTAATGCACCACTTTTTGATTTAACGTCTCCAATTTTTCATCCTCCCTTTTACGCTCTCATTTGACTTTAAAACCTATTACAATTCTAATATAGCCCTGTTCTGTTACTCATTAACCTTAAACATTCAGCTTATTTCTCTTCCCAGGGATGATACTAGACTAGCTGTGTATTTCTAGTATTTGCAAACGTTTATTATGGGGTTTGAGCTTTTGAATAAGTTTTAGCTATGAATATATGAACATACAAATCAGGAGCAGGAGCAAGTCCTTCAGTCTAATCCACTATTCAATAAAATGACTGATCTGATGGTAAACTCAAATCCACGTTCCTACCGACACCTGATAATCTTTCACCCTCTTGGCTAAAATAATCTGTTTACCTCTGCCTTTAAAAAAAACTATTCAAGGACTATGCCTCCACCATTTTTTCAGAAAGAGAGCCCCAAAGAGTCATAACCTTTGGAGAGAAAAAAAGATCTTATCTCTACTCTAAATGGAAGACCGCTGACTTTTAAACAGAGATCCTTTGAAACATGAAGCTCTATCACCTCACCTTCCATTCATTCCCATCAGCCCCTCACAACCTCCATGACAACCTAGGCACCCAACCCATGCCACACGCACTACTCACCTATCCCCATTGTTCCTTACAGCCTGAATCCCAAATTAATACTAATTCATGCTAGCCCATGACCCCCAACCCACCTTCTTTACCCTTACACACACCGTGCAAACTCACATAACAGGCAGATCATATTCTGATATGAAATAAAATATCTGTTACACAGATCACTATATTAAAAAAAAGTCCCTTTCATGAAAGAGATGACCAAGTGTGGAGCTGGAGGAACACAGCAGGCCAGGCAGCATCAGAGGAGCAGGAACGTTGATATTTCGGGCCGGGACTCTTCTTCAGTCCTGACTCGAAACGTCAGCTTCCCTGCTCTTCTGAAGCTGCCTGGCCTGCTGTGTTCCTCCAGCTCCACACTTCATTATTTCTGACTCCAGCATCTGCAGTTCTTGCTATTTCATCCATTCATGAAAGCCTATTTAATACATTTAAATCCCCTCAAACACTTAACCCCTTAAAAAAAATAAAAATTATATTCATAATCCCACATCACAAAGATAGTCTCTCTTAATAATTTCTTAAATAATTGCTGTAAACAACTGTGAACTTACAAACCACAACCCACTCACCGACCCTGCTCCATTGTGATAAAGACAGTTTGTGGAAAGCAACTAATGTTTAATATTGTAATAACTACATCACTTAGGCTCATGTCAACAAACAGCTATTGACGTTGCTGGAATTTTTATTTTAAGTTTCACATAGACTGGATCTCCCTCTTTTACTATTTTAACTAGCTGATGATTTAAATAAATTGACAGCTTGATAGTTCTACAGTCCTTATGCACCCTACAAGATTATTCACAACACTCTAAAGATTTGTAAATTGCATACTGCAAAGCAATCGGTCAAGTGAAAATAGGGTCTGTGTGAAATCAGCATTGGGTTTGAAAAAGCCTGTTGTGTTTGGGTTACTACGTAGTTGTAATGGCCCACCCTACTTCCCTGATCAGTGTTAATGAGATCTAAGAAACAGTGGGGTGCTGGAGTGGGACTTCCACATGCAGGTCCTGCCCATTGGCTTCAAACATCTGCAGCTTCATGAAAAGCCAGCCCAATATACTTAAATATCCTTGAAAAGCTACTGTTTTCTTTTGATTCTATGTTAGCAAATGATTAAAATAATGTCAGAGATAGTAGGAACTGCAGATGCTGGAGAATCCGAGACAACAAGGTGCAAGGCTGGATGAACACAGCAGGCCAAGCAGCATCATAGGAGCAGAGAGGCTGACGTTTCGGGCCTAGACCCTTCATCAGAAAAGCCTTTTCTGATGAAGGG